GCTACACTGTGATTTCTCCAAAACAAACACTTAAATGTGTGGAAACTTAATCAATGGGGTTGGGAGTCACTCTGTTCATTCGAGTGACGTGTGGGTGGGTTTAACAGCACCAGTTTTACATTTTATAAATTACTTTATGTACCTTTTCTTTATTAGGGGGGAGGAGAGATTTCTGCTTCATTTTTCAAATGATTAATAAAATGAATAAATCATCAGGCTGCAACATTAATATTATTAGCTGGAATGTTAAGTCCTTAAATCACCCTGTTAAGCGGAAAAGTGTACTTTTGCATTTAAAACAACTTAAAGTAGGGATTGCTTTTCTTCAGGAAACGCATTTGCGTAAAATAGATCATTTTAGGTTAAAATGTGATTGGGTGGGTCAATTATATCACTCTAATTTTAATTCTAAATCTAGGGGAACAGCAATCCTTATTGAAAAAAATGTCCCATTTGAGGCCTCGATGGTAAAAGCAGACCCTGCAGGTCGCTTCATCATTGTTATTGGCAAACTTTATAATATCTCAGTCATCTTAGCTAATGTGTACGCACCAAATTATGATGACAGTGTTTTCTTTACAAATATCTTCTCTAAACTAGCAAATTTGGACACACACTCTTTGATATTAGGAGGAGATATGAATTGTGTAATGTCATCCTTAGATCGTAGTTCAGTTAAAACTACTCCCTCGTCAAAGTCAGCTGAGGCCATTAAAACATTTATAGATACATATGGGGTATCAGATATTTGGCGATTTCGTAATCCTGTGTCTAGAAGCTATTCTTTTTTCTCATCTGTCCATCAGACATATTCCCGCATAGACTACTTTTTTCTAGATAATAATCTTATACCTCTGATTAGCTATTGTGAATATTGTGCCATTGTTATCTCTGACCATGCCCCTTTATTAATGACGCTGTGCATCCCAGTCACACTTGACAAATATTGTCCCTGGCGTTTAAATACATTACTGCTTTCAGATGAAACATTTACTAACTTGATATCCTCTAAAATTAAAATATTTCTTGAACTTAATCAAACACCAGAAACATCTTTCTCAGTAATATGGGAAGCTATGAAAGCATATTTAAGAGGAGAGATAATATCCTATAGTTCCTATATTAGAAAAAAACAAAGAGTCAGGCTTGAGGAATTAACCAATGCTATAATTAAATTAGATGCCACACTAGCCCTTACACCATCACCCACCCTAAATAAACAAAGATTATCGCTTCAAACTGAATATAATCTTCTAAACACCAAACATATTGAGAATTTATTAAATAAAACACGTTATAGAATATACGAACATAGTGAGAAGACGGGTAGAATTTTAGCTCATCAGTTAAGACAAAAAGCAGCAGATCGCACTATTACCCAAATAATAGATCAATTAGGCCAAAAACATACAGAGCATCAGCAGATTAATCAATGTTTTTATGAGTTTTACTCAAAATTATACAAGTCAGAATCTCCTAAGGACCCAAATTTGCTCTCATCTTTTTTTGATAAAATTACTATTCCTTCAATTGATAAAGAGACTGCAGCCGAACTTGAGGCCCCTTTTTCAGTTCAAGAAATAAATGCCTCAATATTGTCAATGCAAAACTCTAAGTCACCTGGACCTGATGGGTTTCCGAGCGAATTCTATAAAAAATTTAGGAATGACTTAGCTCCACTGTTGTCAAATGTATTTGGGGAAGCATTTCATTCTGGGACTCTTCCTCCAACTATGCAACAAGCAGTCATAACGCTTATCCTCAAGGAAAATAAAGACCCTCTCGAATGTGGCTCTTATCGCCCAATCTCTCTTCTCAATGTAGACAGCAAAATCCTGGCCAAAATGTTAGCTCGTAGGCTGGAAAACGTTCTGCCTTCTGTAATATCGAGTGATCAAACTGGGTTCATTAAAAACCGGCAACTATTTTTCAATATACGAAGACTCTTAAGTATTCTTTATGATCCCACTCCGTCTAATACTTCTGAGGTACTACTATCGCTTGATGCTGAGAAAGCATTTGACAGGGTGGAGTGGGACTTTCTTTTTTATGTTTTGGAAAAATTTGGGTTTGGTTCAAAATTTATTCATTGGATTAAAATAATTTATAACTCACCGGTGGCGGCAGTGCGAACAAATAATAATCTATCTCCTTTTTTTTCTTTACAACGTGGTACTAGACAGGGCTGCCCATTATCTCCTCTTTTATTTGCATTGGTAATCGAACCACTAGCCGTGGCTATACGAGAGAATACTCTAATTAAGGGAATATATAAAGGGAATGTTGAACACAAAGTTTCTTTGTACGCAGATGACATGCTTGTATACTTATCTCATCCACTTACAAGCTTGCCAGCACTGATTGGACTTTTAAATGATTTCGGGAAAATTTCGGGTTATAAAATTAATATTAAGAAAAGTGAACTTATGCCGGTGAATTGTACAGCTTACACAACATTATCTAACTCATTTGCGTTTAAAATAAGTACCGAGAAAATTAAATACTTGGGTGTCTGGGTTACTCATAAATATCATAAACTTTATAATGCTAACTTTAGCCCACTTATACATAACTTAAAACAAGATCTTGATCGTTGGAACCTGCTTTCTTTATCTTTAGGAGGTAGAATTAACACTGTTAAGATGAATATACTGCCTAGACTGCTATTTTTATTTCAGTGTCTTCCAATTTTTTTAACCAAGTCTTTCTTTAACAACATAGACTCCCTTATATCTGATTTCATCTGGAATAGGAAAATACCTCGCATGCGTAAAAATTTATTACAAAGACACTGCTCTTTTGGTGGGTTATCTCTCCCAAATTTCCAACATTATTATTGGGCTTCTAACATTAAATTTATGTTGTATTGGATTAACCCTTCTGATAATCCCACATGGTTACAACTAGAAAAGGCTTCTTGTAAATTTGCATTATCTTCTTTACTCTGTTCTAAGATTCCTCTTCCTGATCCAATATCTAGATACTCTCCGAATCCAATTGTTAAAACATCTTTTAAAATATGGCACCAATTTAGACGAGCTTTATCATTTACTGATCTATCCATGCAGGCCCCTATTATAAAAAATCATATGTTTACTCCTTCGATTGCAGATGCTACATTTAATTGCTGGATAGAAAAAGGGCTCACCACACTGAATGATTTATATAGCGATTCCAATTTCATGTCCTTCAACCAAATAAGAACAAAATACAATATCCCTAAAACACATTTCTTTAGATATCTACAGATCCGCAGTTTTATGATTTCTAATACAGTAGATTTTCCAACTTTACCTACAGAAACATTACTTGACACCATTTTAAAAACCAATCCAGTTCTCAAAGGTAATATAGGTGTGATTTACTCTTTTATCTCCTCACAAAATCTAACTTCAGTAACAAAGTCGAAACAACAATGGGAAAATGAACTTGAGTTGACCCTCTCTGAGGAAATTTGGCTAGACATTATAAATAAGATTCATTCAACTTCAATTTGTTTGCGACATACAATTATTCAGTTTAAAGTGGTCCATCGCCTTCATTGGACAAAAGTAAAATTAGCAAAATTTTTACCAACTATAAATCCCCTATGTAATAGATGTGACGTAGAAATAGCTAATCACACACACATGCTTTGGTCATGCTCTAAAATTACCAAGTTCTGGCAATTAATATTTAATTTTTTTTCAAATGTTTTACATGTAACAATTGACCCTTGCCCTGTTACAGGAATATTTGGTTTAATAACAGATCCCGGTTTAGACAATAATACCAAAAGCATGATTTCTTTTTCAACATTAATTGCTAGACGTCTTATACTGCTCAAATGGAAGGACAAATTTCCTCCAACTTTTAATCATTATATTAGAGACCTTATGTACCATCTTACAATGGAGAAGATTCGGTACTCTACCAAAGGTTGCAGCCAAAAATTTCATCTTATTTGGCAGCCAGTGTTGACATATATAAAACAAATGGATCAAAACTTAATTTTTTCAGTTTGACCATTAGTTATGGGTTTCTCACATTTTTTTCCCTCCATTTTATTTGACTACATTTTAATTTCTATCTAAATTATTTAATTTCTTTGTTTTACATTTGCTAAGCCTATTGTGACTCGTTGTGTGCGTATATATGTACAATAGATGAGTGAACATATAATGGAACTTTTGTCTATTTGTATTGTATGTATGTATATATTGCGACAGAATGTAAAACAGATTAAAAATAGGCATAACATATTGTTTATAAACGGTGCTGTGGGGTGGGGGGGGGCTCTGTTGGAGCAAAGATCATTTTTCTCTGTTTTTCAATTACTTTTGAAATTGATGTTTTATTGACCAAAATGTTAATAAAAAGATTTGAAAAAAAAAAAAAAAAAAAAAAATCTCTTCAAAGCGAAAGCAACCGGTGCTGCTTACAAAAAGACACTTTTGGAGGCTGAGCTCTTGAAAGCAGCAAGACTGTGGGTGCATTAGTATAACTTTTTGTCAGTTCTATATGAAAGAGAACCGGTCATAGTTGCGTTACAGGCACGGTTGCTTCAAGCAAGGTAACAGGAGCGCGCACGCTTTAAACAGTCGCGTGCATTACATCAGCTGTTTGCGCGACTGATCATCCTCTCATTTAGTATTCATCTGCTTTCTATTGCTCGCGCGAAAGCAATTATTTTTGTTAGTCGTGCTGTTTCTCTATTCTAAGATCACATTTGCACGCATATTGGGTCATCATTATTGTCGAACCCTGCTTTTAAGAAAACTCAACTTTCAACCAGCCAAAGTGGCTAGTGGGAGCGGCTGTCTAACCCGCCAAAGCTAAAATCTACCCGCATTTGGTGGGTTGACGGGTGTTAATGTTAAGCCCTGAATACAAGTATCGTTTATTAACAGTTAATGTTAATAAATACATAAAGTAATAAAACCTTATTTTAAGAGAGACCATTTAGATGTATTTAAATGTTAACAATTTTGTAATTATGTGCTTTTTTTTTTTAACAGACTTACAGTGAGTTGTATTTTAGGATATCTAGTCTTCATTAAAAGAAAACTAAACTAATGTTATTTATATCTTATTTCACTCATATTCAATAAATAAGAACTATTTAATAGGTTTAGAGTGTGCAACAGTTCCCGATAACCGCATGGAACAGATTCTTGATCAGTCAAACAGGCCGCCTCTATTACACTACTCAAATTAACTTAGGGATATTGTTATTCACATGAGTGCTTGTCCTATTTGCTCTGAAATGAAATAAGTAAAAGTTTCCATTGATATTACCAATAATATATGAGAAGAAACACCATTTTCAGTAGTTTAATATTTATTACTCCAAAAATTTAGACAATAACAAGAATAGCCACAAATAACAAAAATTGACAATGTCAGTAGCGCGCATCATTTGCCACAATGACAGCTTGCCAGCAAAGTCTCATGCTCCTCGCTAGCCTCATGATGTTGTTCTGAGGCAATGCGTTCCACTCTTCGACAAGTGCTACACGCAGTTTTGCCAGGTCACGTGGGGGTGGGGTACGATAATCCAGCATCTTCTTCAACTGGTCCCAGACTTGGGATGCGTCCGAAACCGCCTACTACTCGGTAGGTACTGCATTTGAATTTAAACGTACTACTCGGCCGTTAGAAAAGTACTTTCTATACAGTATGAATGTGAAAAGTATGAATAGAATTCGGACGTACTACATCCACTATTTTGACATAGTCACGTGACGTTGTTGTGTTCAGCATGTTGTAAGATTTATTGAAGTGCGTGCGCGTGCATGTGGTGCGTGCGCGTGGAAAATAAAGCGGAAGTTTTAGTGTGTTCATCTGGACTAATGTGTAGACTGAGTTATTGAGTGTCCATAAAAGTTTATACACAATATTGGCGACGAAGATGGCTGAATTTAGCTTACCTGCACCACCACCTTTCCTCCCAGTGGCTGGCGACCCGCCTATTCCATGGGCGAACTGGTTAGATGGTTTCACAGTGTACCTTGAGGCTATGGATTTCACGGACATCTCCGATCGGAGAAAAATCGCTCTGCTTCGCCACTGTCTCGGGGCGGAGGGACAGAGAATATATCGTGCTCTGGGACATGCAGAAACATACGAGGAAGCAGTCGCTCTCCTCGCGAATCACTTCACCGGGCAACAGCGCGTGCTGCTGCGCCGATACAAGCTGCGCAAACGGCTTCAGCACTCGGGTGAGTCCGTGCAGAATTATGTAACTAATCTGCGAGATATGGCACGCTCATGCAATTATGGAACTCTTCAAGATCAGATTGTTCGGGATCAGTTTATCGAGGGGATATTGTGTGACAAGACCAGGGAGAAACTGCTGCTGGAGCCTGATGAATTAACTTTAGATCATGCTGTTGCTATAGCTGTGCAGGTGGAGGCTGCCACTGAATGCTCTACGTTGCTGGCAGATGCGCGCCCCCTGGCGGACGTACCGTTACAGCAGATGCGATCTGTCTGTCTCACAAACCACGGCCCATTATCCCCACATAATACAGAAACTGAAGAAACATGTTTTCCAGTGCAGCTTACACAGCATCAAGGAAATCGTAGAAGTTTAGTTTTCTGCAGCAATTGTGGATCTAATTCACACAACTCTATTCAAAATTGTCCTGCACGAGGACAGATCTGCAGGAATTGCCAAAAAAAAAATCACTTTGCAAAAGTATGCCGTTCTGCACCAGCTGCTCAAGCATCACTGAAGCGACACCCACATGCTCCGTATAACTGCACTGAAATCAGACATGTTTCAGGAGGGCAAGCAGCTTTTAGGACATGTACTGTACTCCTTGGTGAGGTGAGCCTTCCACTGTTGCTGGATACGGGTGCGGCAGCTTCTCTGCTCAATGCCAACACATACCACAAGTTCTTCTCCCATCTGCCACTGCAACAGCCCTCTACATCTCTTTGTGGTTATGACAGCTCTAAGATCACTATGCTGGGTGTTCTTCATGTTCCAGTCCGCTATGGCTCTAAACACATACCATCATTTCCTTTCTATATTACTGAGCGGGGTGCCAACCTCCTGGGATTGGACCTTTTCACATGTTTAGGATTCACACTGCGAGACAACAAGGGGTCGGATATCCACCACATCACCACTACATGGCAGCAGAGATGGCCGGCACTGTTTAAAGGACTGGGGTGCCTCACAGTTTTTACCCACAGGCCTCTGGTGGATCCGGAGGTGTCGCCAGTCATTCAACCCCTGCGCAGAATCCCTCTCGCACTGCGGGATGAAGTGACTGCAGAGCTTCAAACGATGCTGGCGATAGGAGTGATTGAACCAGTCAATGCTGCCCCCTGGATCTCTAACCTGGTCATTGCTAGGAAAAAGTCTGGTGGAATTCGGGTATGTGTGGATTTGCGATCTGTCAATAAGGCTGTTATACCAGACAAATACCCTTTACCCACAGCGGAGGAGCTGACCACTCATTTCTATGGGTCAAAAGTGTTCACAAAGCTGGATCTGAGACAAGGCTATTTGCAAGTGCCACTGCATCCTTCTAGCAGAAACCTCACAGCGTTTGTCACACACACAGGGGTATATCGCTACACACGCATGCCATTTGGCTTAAGCTCCGCCCCCAGCTGTTTTCAAAAGGTGATGACAACTATCTTGGCTGGTATCCCCGGGGTTGCTGTTTTCTTGGATGACATTGTAGTGCATGCAGCAGATATCCAGACACATAATGATCGTCTCTACAGGGTGGCTACTGCGCTCATGGAGCATAATCTCACACTGAATGAGGAGAAATGCACATTTGCTACGTCAGCCATTGATTTTGTTGGGTTTCGACTCACATCCCAAGGCATTGCCCCGCTTCAGTCAAATATCGAGGCCATTCACAGAATCCCAGAACCCTCCTCCACTTCCCAGGTAGCTTCATTTTTGGGCATGACAGCATACTACCTGCGTTTTCTACCTCAGTACTCCCGAACCACAGCACCCCTCCGCCAATTGCTAAAGAAAGATGAACCGTGGAATTGGACTGCAGAATGCACTGAGGCTGTCAAAATTCTAAAATCTCAGCTAACCACACCTCCCATTCTAGCTCACTTTGACCCAAACAGTCTGACTATTGTCACTTGTGATGCCTCCACACAGGCACTGGGAGCTGTTCTTTCACAAGAACAGGATGGTGTTGAAAGGCCGGTAGCATTTGCGTCCAGGGCCCTGACGCCCACTGAACAGCGATACTCTGTGGGCGAACGGGAAGCCCTTGCCTGTGTCTGGGCCTCAGAGAGGTGGCATCTCTATCTTTATGGCAGACGTTTCACACTCCGCACGGATCATCAGGTGCTTACCACACTCTTATCAGCTTCCGGCTCAGGTCATAAACCTCTGCGCCTACACAGATGGGGTGAGCGCCTGAGACAGTATGATTATCAACTCAAATTCACACCTGGGAGAGACAATGTGGTAGCAGATCTCTTATCCAGATCTATTACTGCACCCACACCGGCAGTCCCACCAAGCAGTAACGATGCGGAGCCAGAATTCATTCAGATGCTCCATGCACCGTTGCAATCGGCTGTCTCCTTGGAGGAGTTGCAGAAAGAATCTGAGCAGGATCCTATACTATCAACTATCCGCACATATATACGCTCAGGGTGGCCTGCACGAGTACCTGAGGAATTGGTGCCATTTGGTAGGGTGCGGAATGAACTGTCATGCTGGGGTGATGTGTGTGTTTCCAGGGGTCTCTGTACAGTAGTGCCAAGCAGCTTGCGTGCCCGTGTCCTATCAATGGCGCATGAGGGCCATTTAGGCATTGTGAAATTTAAGCAGAGATGCCGGGATCTGGTCTGGTGGCCAGGCATCGACCGGGATATTGAAGGACTTGTCAGAGACTGTGGACCATGCCTTCTCAGTGGGAAGACTGGGCAACCAGCTCCAACCCCTTTGCAGCCAGTTGCATGGCCATCACGTCCATGGGAGCACCTTCAGGTAGATATCTGTGGTGAAATTCATGGCCACGGAGTTCCCCCTCATCAACGCTTTCTGGTTGTCATCTATGATCTCCATTCCAAATGGCCAGAGGTAGTGCCAACAGGAACAGTTACTTCCCAAATTATCACACAGATACTGGATAGCCTGTTTGCTCGTTGGGGCATGCCCCGTGCTATAACTACTGACAACGGTCCCCAATTTATGTCTGCGGAATTCTCTACTTTCCTAAGCAGTAAGGGGATCAAACACATTCGTGCTGCACTCTATCACCCGCAAGCAAATGGCGGAGTGGAAAGGTTTAACCAGAGTCTTAAGAATGGGGTTCGGGCACATCTGGTTCAGGGATACTCATTCCAAATGGCACTTAACCTAACCTTAATGCACTACAGGGCTAGTCAGCACAGTACCACTCACGTTTCACCTGCTCTGCTCATGCTTGGCCGGGAGATAGAACTGCCCCTAGACCGGCTAAGAGCATGTGGTTTGCCAGCAACGACAGTAAAGGAGCCCCAAGCAAAAGCCAATGTGGCTGTCACTACAAACCAGGATCGTATGAAAAATAACTTCGACAAACGACACAGGGTTAGGCATGCTAACATCGAGGTACTGGACTGGGTGCGGGCCCGCAGACCCCACCGTAGCAGTAAAATGGCATCTTTCTGGTCTGAACCTCACCAAGTAGTTCGTCGGTTAGGCTCAACCACATATATGTTGAGTGATGGTTCTCGCTGGCATGCAAGTAGATTGCAGAAAGTGCCTATTCCCCTTACTACAACAAGAGGCCCAAGGGCAACAGAACCAATGGGGGCAGCAACACGAGGAATAAACTTTCCAACCCCACAACCTGAGCCAGTACAGCAGCAGCTATACCAGGCACCTCAGGGTCGTCAGCTCAGGGAGCCCCCACAACAGGCGGAGCCTGATCCGCCACCACTCTTGGCAGACACTGACCCCTGTCCTTCCCAAACATTGCACGATCCTATCCAAGATGTTCCAGAAATGCAACAGCAGGAGGGTTTGGGAGGTAGACCAGTTCGGGCGAAGACTCGTCCAGCCTATCTTAAGGATTATATCATAGACTTTCATGCATAAAGGTTAAGATGTGTCTGCTGTTTTGGCTGTTTACTAAACTTGTTTACTAAGTCATCTAGTTCTTGGAGGGGGGGGGGGAATTGTTGTGTTCAGCATGTTGTAAGATTTATTGAAGTGCGTGCGCGTGCATGTGGTGCGTGCGCGTGGAAAATAAAGCGGAAGTTTTAGTGTGTTCATCTGGACTAATGTGTAGACTGAGTTATTGAGTGTCCATAAAAGTTTATACACAATAGACGTACCTGCATCATTTGCGTCGCTTTACTCCCATTCATGAATTCGCTCTCGGGGCATCATGGGATAGCGCAGTATGCATGGGATGCACACTTTGGAATCTCGCCGGAAGTAGTAAGTCATCCGGGTACTTCTCGCATACTGTTTTTCGAATTCTATGAATTCGGAAATACTACTCGGCTCGCATACTGATTTTAGCGTACTATATATTATGGAAGTATGCGGTTTCGGACACAGCCTTGCTCTATGGGGTTCAGGTCAGGGGACATTGATGGCCATACCATATGAGGCACTCCAACTTCCTGAAGTTGAGCTGTGACAATTCTGCCACAATGGGGTGGATCATTATCATCCATGAACAGAAAGTTGGGGGTGTGCTTGCAGAATTTGGGGATGATGGGATCTATAATGTCTCTGAGGTAAGAACTTGCAGTGACTGAGCCATCTACAATAACCTAATCTGTTTTGCACTGACTGATGATGCCTGCCAAAACTTTTGCACCTCCTCCACTAAAGCAAACCCTGGGGACCATGTTGACCTCAGCAAATGGCTCACCTCGCCTTCTCCAGCAACACTGACAACAATCATTGCTGTGCAAGGTGACTCGACACTCATCAGTGAACAGGACTGTAGACCACAGGTCACATAGTCTGACTTGTGCTCACTGGAATGTTCATGTCGGTGTCTTGGTGTCAGTGGAGTAACCTGCAATGGTTGTCTGGCATTTAAGCCAAAGTGGTGGAGTCGTTGCAAATGGTTTGTCTGGAAACCCTAGTACCCCTCACATCTCTTAAACGGACCTGCAGCTGTGTGGCATATGCATATTGATGTCTGAGTGCAAAGGTGCTTAGGTGCTCATTGTTGCGGTCTGTCACTCGTGGGGCTCCACTCCTGGGTATGTCATGAACTCTGCCAGTAGTTCTGTGTCTTGATGCAAGTCTGCTGTTGACACTTTGAGACACACCAAGTTCACGAGCAACATCTGTCTACCTGCAACTGACCTGAGGGTGCACCTTAGCCAAGTGGTGCTGCTCGTACATTGAGTGACATTGTGTTTTTATGGCTGTTTGAGCCATGACCCTAACCCTAACCCATGATAGGGACAGTCCTCACCCACACCAAACCCTAAACCCAACCAAACGGCATAACCATAATTCTTGTAAAAAGTTTGGGAAAACGACAGCCCTCACCTAACTCAAACCCTAACCCTAACCTCAGTTTAAAGGGACAACCCTCACCCACACCAAACCCTAAACCCAACCCTAAGTCATTAAAGGGCATAACCCCAAGCCTTTGGAAAAACCATGCACAAATCCCCTAACAACCCTGACTAAAAAACAGAACCCTAAACAAACAGATTGAGGATCTGGTGAACTTCCTATCACAAATTGGCAGTAAGACACTCGCCTGGAATTGATCAACTAGTGCTGATCGCCTCAGACGAGGGTGTCTAGTGTTTAAAGAATCGAAACACCCGATGAAACTGAGGTACACTACTGGTGAAGTGTCTTAAACATTTCCCTCTCACAACTGGTCTTGAGGGAGTAACAAAAGGAGAAATGAATCCCAAACCTCAACCATTGATCCCTACAGCATCCAAACCCATCAAAACCATCCCAAAGACGTTGGCACATTGTGCAACAGCCAACAATTGGAACACACAAAAAACACTTCCTCCTCTCATCAAATCTTAAGCCCAAATCCCACAAACAAGGCTAAACCTCCCACACAGGAGGGGTAAGATCAGTGCTCTTATGGTATATAGTCAGACAAGCGTGGGCCAGTGCACGCCTCCTCAATCTCCCTACTTCTAACCTACCTAGACTAGCGCTAGGATGGGGGGAGTTGTTGTAATTCTTTCAAAACCTAACCCATGATGATCTTAGAATGACTAACTGACAATACCAGATTTTTGTACCCACAGGATGTTGAAATTGATGCCACATTGAAAAAGATTGTCTTTTGGTATTGACCCCATTATAAGGCACACCTGTAAACAATGAGACTATTACATGGAAAACACGAAATGAGGTGTGTCTATGACCCCAATACAGTTGCCTCCATTTCCCAAAATGTGTGAAGTGAAACAAACACCTTATGTTTCACATTCACTGAGTCTATCACAGTTTCTCTAACCTATTGTGCGTAGTGTATAATATATAAACTGTTGTTGGGCATTAAAGGGGTCAGTGGAGAAGTTTACTCTTTATTGCTTTATCTTGGCAAACGGATTTATATCATGATAAATTCAACCTAAATCGACCAATCAAACACTATATGTTTTCTTTCTCAGCAAATCCCTTACCTGCAGGGATCATAACAGCTGACGGACAGCAACAAAACGTGATGGTGTACACCACTGCCTATCAGCAGGTGAGGATGGATGCTATGTTTTTTTTTTTTTTTTTCCAGCCAAAAATAACAAACACAGTTTGGATATGCGATGTCCAGTGGAGCTCATGTCAACATACTGCCTATTAGGCCAGTGGTCCTGAATTTTTTTTTTTACTCACAGCCCTCAAAACCAAACACCTTTTCTTGTGCCCCACTGCAATTTTTAGAAATTAACCTGCTATTTGTGAACTGTTAGTTGCCTTTATTCAATAAAATGCTAATTATTTGGTCACCTAACCCAAGTAGACCTATGCTGGAACCTTACAAGGAAAAGCAAAAACCAAAATCCAGGCAGATGTCATAAGTGGGTAGACTGTCAGCAAAGCTAGACCTGCAGGACAGATTTTTATGTATTACTCCAAGGTTTGTTTCTTACTCCCGCACTACATTTGTGTTAGATTTGAACATATATCAGGGCTCGAAATTGCGACCATTTTGGTCGCATATGCGCCCGAAAATTAATCTATGCGACCTCATAATATATATGGGAGCATTAGTGCGACTGCAGATAATGGTTGTAGTGCGACCTGTTTTGATTTTTTTGTAAAAACGTGCTGAATCGCTCTTCCCTGCCGCTATATTGGTTCATATTAGCTGTCATTCACTCAAGGTATTCCGCTGTCAGATGACAGGGAAGGAGCTTTTATGACCACGGGAAATGCAAACGGCTGAAGAGTAAAAACTTAAAGCGCACAGGTTTGCAAACCCCACCTAATTTGAGGCGCAGATGAAAGCGGTCATGACACGTCACGTGGTGAATAATGATCCGCCAGCTGAGATCAATCGAGTACGCGCTTCTTGGAGAAGGTGCCCGAATCTCGATGCGTTGCATTCACTGCGTGTTTAGCGCAAATGTCCGCTAAAAGTCAAATCTAATACTGTACATATCATCGCCAAAGGAGCTCGCCTTTACTAAGTTTACACTGAAACTGCGGCTCATAACAAAGACCGGTATTGTGCTGATGGTTAGCGCAAGAGTCCTGCTCTGCCTGCGCATAAATTGGGTCGGCTGACTCGCCTGCTTTCCACTAACACAGAAAAATGAAGATCATCTCAGACTGAACCTCTAAATTGACACAAACTGAAACCAAAACTTTTAAAGAGTAATAGTGAGACTTACTTTCTTTTGTCTATTCTTTTTGAGGTGTATATTATTTTTATATTTATTTACTGATGACTGCTTTGCAGCTTTCATCATTGAATTGAATGATTTATTATAATCTTTTGTTTGTTTTGTAGCAGAAATATTATTTATTAAATTGACATGCATATAAAAACAGCAGTATAAAATAAATATTTCTTACTGCAATGCTTAATTTTTGTTTGATGCAAACTATACAATTATTTTTCATAAATTAACAGACTTTTTATAGCAGATAACATTCATGCACATTCAAGGCAGTATCATAATGAGAAATGGAATTCATTGTTACTATTATTGTCATTTTTTATCATTATTAATATTCTATGGCCTAATTATTAGACATTCATTTTGGAATTATTGCACACAAATATCAATGTCTTTGCAGCATTAGTTAGATAGTTGTTTCTGGTTTTTGTTAGTCCTATTAAATGTTGTTTTAAAATACAATAAATCCCTTAAAAAACAATTTGCAGCGGTGCTCATTTATTTTTGGTGGATGCTCCTAAATTTTCTCTGGTGCTCCTAAAATTCTTTTGGTGCTCCTAAATATTTGCAGTTGGAAGCACCGGTGCTACCAAGTAAAAAAGTTAATTTCGAGCCCTGTATATATATATATATATGACCTTGTTGACTGAAAACACAACGCACACACTACGATCAACCGGACAAGATGCTTCTACCAAACAGAATTAGACACCTGAGTTCAGGTATTCATCACTTACCACTTCCCAAATTAGATAAATACCAATGTATTTGCCTTTTTAATTATATGTTTTACACAGATCTATTTTAAGGGGGTCCTGCTGAACATTTTAGCACCTATAACCAACACAATCTTCACACCTGCGCTTGCATTCACAATGAAATCTAACAACAATTCTACATGTCAGTTATTGTTTGATTAATGTGTTTACATGTTTACATTCGGAGAGCAGCATTTAAAACGGATCTTGCAGTCAGTAATATTGTAGTGAGGTGAACGTTCTGTAACTTAGTAACTAAATCATTTAGACTAAGGGGTGTCTTTAAAAACTGAAAGAGTACTGCTGACGATACTAACTATAACTTTGCCATCTAAATGAACATAAACAATGAACATTGTTTGCACACTTACCAAATCTGTAGAAAGGATAATCAACACGAACTAGACCCGTGTCTTTATTTAAAAGGAGACAAGTGGCAAATCCGGATTTCACCTTTTCCAGATGCGAAGAGCACTCAGGTAAAGATTTTTCCTTGCAAACGTATTTTTGTCGCGTGTAAGCAGACCACTGTTATCCACAAATGTGTGTTCTCTCTCATCGTGGGGAAATGGAAACAAAATCTTCATTGTGGCACATTAATGACCGCGACACTGACAACACGTCTTTGAACAATTCTTCTTCTTTTACTTGTTTTAATTACGGTTGGCATCACATTGTGGCATCTCTCTGCCATCTGAACACTGTAACAGGTAAAAACAGTCTTCGAAGCCATGTTAATAAAGTTGCACCTCATTCATAACAGAGCGTGCTG